TGGTATTTGTAGATAATCGATCTATGATCTACTATTATTTTAAACGCGAATGTTTGTAAGTCTGGAGGCCCCTGGTTTATACTTTGTAAGTATTTATTGCGAAACAAATTAAATTATTATTTCAATAAACTTAAGTAGATATAGTAAAATACAAGAATTACCCAAAAATAAATTACAGCGTTAACGAATCGAACCTTGCGAGCTTTTTTCTAAGTAGGGAATATCTTCTTGATTAAATTAAAAAAAAACTGATGAAAAAATCTTAACATTCAATTGTTTCTTGTTTTGAATAATTTCAATTATTTAAAAACTTACATATTAATAAGTAAAAACACACTTTTTTTTTAAATTGAATAACATCGAAAAGTATTCGACTCGCGATGAGAATCGAACACTGAGTCTCCAAGCCTTCGTACAAGTATGTACTGACTCATTCTAGCACCAGGATACTCGTTCAAAAGATAGTAAGTAGTAAATGGAAAATGTTCATCATCAATCCAAGTACCATCAAGAATTGCATTTTCCCAGGCAAGCGCGCTTCAACCTAGACCTCATCAGTGCTTCCCAGCGCTGATTGTAGTCAAGCGCAAGCCTATCGTTCAATAAAAAAAAATCAGGACGCTATACGGATTGAAGTAAACGAATATGGATAAATTGTTTTTAATATTTAAAAACAATATATGTAATCATATTTGTACAGGTAAAAATGCAAAAAGAGAATTAAAAAAAAATAAGGGAAAAATTGTCAATTTGTTATTGTAACGTTGTTATTGTGAAAAATAATCATGAAACATATAAACGACAACTGACCGATTTTTTTTATTTTTAATCAGACGGCTAATTTTAAGAATTCTCCACCTCGCAGTCTTTGAAGGCCGATTAAGTAGCCAAAGTAGCTTTATTAGAGTCTGGCGCATTCTTAAGTCAACTTAGTAACCATGAAGTCACCTGTTTAGATTTTTTTATTTAAAGTTGAAAATTTAAGTCATAATTGACCGAACGTAAATTTTTCACTTAAGACCTACATTTTTATAACTTTCATACTTATATACATACTTCGTTACGAAGCTGATTATTTCATTCATAAAATTACCACTTATGAAGATTCATTTGCAAAAAACAAATCTCGACAAAGTCTTCAATTTTTTTTCAGTTTTTTTTAAGTTGGTCAGGCCGAAAATTCTCAAAAATTCAGAAAAAAATAGCTCATAAACTATGAAAAGTCGCGTAACATACATGGCGGTAATTCGGATACCTAGGGACCTAAATTTTATATTTGGACGTCAACGTTCCGACCACTCCGTACATCATGGGCTATAATTTTTTAAGATATACATAGTAATAAATACTGCGCGGAGCCGCGGGAATACCGCTCGTCCTACGATACAATTTATATTATTTAGAAATAGTTTTTACCTTTTATGTATTTTTCAACTTTAGCGTTTTGTCAGATTCGAAAGAATAATAATAAACAACGTTTGTGAAGTAATAACTTTTAGATTAAAACTTTAAATGTTGTTTTTTTAAATCAATCATCCAAAACTTAAAATTAGTGAAAATATCTACAGAAAAAAATATAAACGACCAAATTGAGTACCTCCTCCTTTCTAAAGTCAATCAAAAACAGCGTTAAATTGCGTAAAACTACGAAAACGCAGTTTGACGTGTATTAATTGTTCAAAACTTTTGTTTGTATCATACCATATTTCGAATTGGTACAAAAAGAGTGGATAGCTCGTGTTAAATACGTTGGTGAGTCACCAAATGTCCTGGCACAGGGGTCCGCTTGTAAGTCGTTTCGTTGCTCATTCGTATGATGCATGGTTTAACTTTAGACTAGTCTTGTCTTTGTAACATTCCGTAAACATGAATTTATGTCGAATGTCGATTACACTTTTATTTTATTACTTTCCGAATATTTTAGGGTATTTTGAGTTTTTGGTTTTAGATTATTAGAAAGTTACATGTTACTAGATTAACTATACATATAATAAAACTGTAGAGGTCGAATGTCTGTACATAGAAAAAAAAGCTAAAAATCGAGTCAGAGGGATGTAAGAAGAGAAATAGTATAAATCCAGATTTTTTCATTTTTTTTGGCTGTTTCCCTTCTTCCCTGGCTGTTTGTTTGTACGGGCTAATCTCCGAAACTGTTAGACCGATTTATATCCCCGGTCAACATTTTACATACTTTTCGTCCCGGAATAATGAACGGTTCCCGTGGGATAGATCTGTTTGAGCTTTCTATCATCTATTTTGATGATATAATAAGTATCTATCTTTATTCTAATTGTATTAGTATATAGATACTTATTATATCAAAATAGATATTTATTATATTATTAAATTATAAAAACTAAATTATTGTCAATAGTAGGGGAGCCCAAGAGGGGATTTTTGTAGTTACTCAAGCGCGGCAAATTAACATAAAAGAGGTTACCTTGCACTCTATTGAGTACTTTCACCATAATATAAGTCTTCTATATAAAGGCGCGCGACTATAAAGTTTATGATGATTTTTGCCTCTTCGGCTTGTGCAAATCGGCAGATTATTGACACTTTTCAGGATGTGACTAGCCTACCACACCTTAATCTGACGGTTTCAAGTATTTCTACCTTATCAAAACATTTTTTAAATATTTTGATCGGCTTCCCTAGACGGCGCGCCTTTATATAGAAGACTTATATTATGGTGAAAGTACTCAATAGAGTGCAAGGTAACCTGTTTTATGTTAATTTGCCGCGCTTGAGTAACTACAAAAATCCCCTCTTGGGGTCCCCTACTACAATATGAGGGTAAATCTATACTTATTATAAAAATAAGTCCCCCGGCCGCGTCTTTCTGTCCTCCTGTCTGTCCTCCTGTCTGTCTGTACGCGATAAACTCGAAAACTACTGAACGGATTTTTATACGGTTTTCAACAATAGAAAGAGTAATTCTTGAGGAAGGTTTAGGTATATAATTTATTATGCTTTTATGTAAATTAGCTGAAATACGGCGACAAATGTTGAAGAGGTCGCAAAAAATCTCGCCAAATGGGAACTTTCCACGCGAACGCCGCGTAAACTAGCAAAGATACAGTTAAGTAATGTACTAGAGAATTCAAAATCTATAAAAATGCTACAAAAAAGTCCGCGATAGCATATCTCTATCTCTTACGGTTGACTTACAATAACCACTTTTATGTTAACATTTTTAATTAAAAACATTACGTTATTTTCAAAGTTATTTTCTTTAGTTCGGTATTAATCCTTATCCAAATGAATATTTTAGTTAGCTTAGTCATTTAATGCAGATTAAAATTGCTCTTTACACTAAATCAATCAGATGAATAGTTTTTGAGATATCGTTGTTAGAAGTAATTAGTAGCGAAACATTTTTAATGCTTGGCGAGCATTGAGATGCCTACGGCGAGTCCATCCCCTCTGCCCCGCATCGCTCGACCGCCTGCTCAAGCTATATAAACCGGGCGATGTAGCGCGCGATCCTAGGATACTTTTTACCGCGGGAAAATATCTTATTTCTGAGGAAAAATACAAAAACTGCAATGTAAGAGTATACTAATATGTAACACCTAAGAATTTAGTTTTTGGTCATCTGAACGCGGGCGGAGCCGCGGGCAATGCTAGTAATTAATATTTTTAATTATTATAAGTTAAATTATGTTTGTAATTAATATGAAAATTCAAATATATTTTATTATTGACCATAATTTTAAATCAGAATTATCTTCAAGATTGTACTATATCTATATATAAAATTAATAGTTATTGCAATAATATACAAATATTATAAAATACAAACTTAAAAATATTGTATTCACTCCTTTTTAACCCCCACTGCTGGGCACTAGGGCACTTAAGTTTGAGTTGGCGGATTTTACAATTCTTTCGAAAACTTGTTAATTTCTCTCGGACATGGTTAGGTTTTCTTACGATGTTTTCCTTCACCGTAAGACAAGTGGTAATCATGTCGGAAAAGATTCACACATGAAAAATCAGAGGTGCGAAACCAGGGATTTGAGCCCGCTTCACTCGGTTTCTCAAACGAGAGCGTTACCACTGCCCAATTTTGTTTTAAACGTGTAGTAATAAACAAATCAGAAAACATTGCTCTTAATTTATTATGACGTACAGTAATAAAATGGTGTACATTTATAAATAAAGTGTAGTGTGAAATATGATTAATATACATTATTATGACGCGGCCGTTAACGGAACAGATATATTTTTCTTAGAAATCTATTCAAGTTTTCTTGGTAGAAATGAATAAAACAAAGTGTTTGAACATGCGTCTAAAATAACATCTAGTTGAATTTATGTAAGCTCCACATAAAGAAGCTATGAAGGCATATCTTATAGTATATTTTATGTTAATTATATAGTAATCACTAGCAACTCTAAGTATTCTATATGTTGACCCGGATAACCAGCTATCATCATACTAAATTTCATCAAAATCCCTCCAAGGAAAGTGGTTTTTCCTTGATGCGGTCAAGACAGACAGACAAAAATTCTAAGACCTCTATATCGTTAATAATGTCTTTCAATAAAATTTTTCAAACAAATATTTTAAATACAGATCCAACTTAGTTACAATTTTATTATACATATTTATAAATAGCTTAAAGTTTGAAAAATTGTTAATTAAAGTTATATGAAATTAATATTTTTGGGTAAAATTTATAACTAAACTAAAATGAAAATTTATTTATTTATAGATATTAGTTAATTTTGCCTTCACAAAAGCAAGCTTTCTGTATCTTTGTAAGAGAATCCATTTAAAATTATATGAATTATTCATAAAAAAAAGTATGTATTCATTACATTAGTTTTTGGCCTATGGATATTTGAGTAAGATGTGGTAGAAATATATGTACTACAGTTCCATTTTTTTACTTTTATATATTAAAATTATATGCGAAAAAAATGTCTTAACACCATGTGCTTTGAATTTCAATAGAACCGTATATTCATTTGATATATAACAACATGCACTACTCACCAACTGGTATATGGAAGTCATCATAATTGAGCGAATCTCTGAAATCCTTCAACTCCCACACATTCTGAAAATTTAAAAGCTTTTATGTATTGCAAATTTACTACTTGAGTTATTAGCTTTGAGATATATAAAAACAATTTCCTTTCCAGAAATTGTGTAAGAAACTTATAAATGAAATAGAAACATTGATATTGAAATGATATCATTAAGCATACAAAAAAATCAACATTATTTTATCTTTGTTTCTTGTCTATCAGTATACACTCATCTTAGACCGAACCAATCTCAGCGATATCTATACTAATATTATAAAGAGGTAAAGTTAAAGAAATAAAGTTTGTGAGTTTGTGATTGTGAGTTTGTGTCGTTGTAATCTCTGGATCTAATAAATTGATTTAGATAAAATTTGGTATGAAGATAGTTTGAGACCCTGGGAAGGACATAGGATATTTTTTACCCTGGAAATCATCCGTTAAGAGGGTGAAAATGAGGATGAAAGTTTGTATGGGGAATAAACCTAGGGAAGAACCCAAGCGAAACGAGGGTGAGTCGCTAGTTTAAAAATAATAAAAAAACATATAAGTAGCACTAGCGACTGACTCCCCGCTTTGCTCGGGTCCCTACTTGCCTAACAGTATCCTATACGTTTCTCCAGGTCAGACTCATACCCTACCTGTATACTAAATTTTATCCAAATAACTATCTCCACACAAAAAAATCAAGCCAATCCGTCACTCCGTTTCAACGTGAAAGAAGGACAAACAAACACACTTTCTTATATAACTTTATAATATTAGTATGGATATAAATACATAGCGATGTACCCGAGGGTAACATTATGATATTATAACATAAAACCAAAGAATTTTTCTGTAGATTAAACGCGGGTGAAGCCATGGGTTCTGCTAGTTGATTTATAAATATCAATTCTATTGTTATAAATAAATATTTCTCTATATAAAACTAATTAAAATTATTTTATCTATACATACATATAAATTATAAATCTTAGAAATTGCTGTTTTTAAAATAAAGGAAAAAACTCTCTACTGTAAAGTAAAACAAGTATTGGTGGTTTGACCAAATATGCACAAAGGCGACAATATGTAATCATCATCTTCCTGCTCATTTCCCAAATTACTTGGAGTCGGCGCAATACGTCCATACTGCTTATTGGTTTTGGCAAACATTAAGACGATAATATGTAATATGTATATATAATAGAACTTATTAAAAACTTACAGGATCAACTTCAATCTGCAACGGCGTAGCATATCTCGCATCTACGGGGGTTCCCTGAGTATTGCCATTATATTCTTTAATGGGTGTCATTGGACTGTTTCCCGCACTTAATCTATCACAGTAATTTTGATTATAGTCCTCTTTCCTTGTGGAATTTGTTGTACTTATAGATGATCTGGCCGGTGACTTATCGTTTTCCCTATTCCAATACTGCTCTATGTCTATATGCCTTGGGTTCATATTGCCGATGTTGTAATTAGCTAGAGGGGATATTCCACGTGGGGAGGACATTTCACTGAAGATTGCAGGGCTTCTGAAGACACGTAAAGTGTCCGGGGTGCTTGTTTCACTCATTTGGTTGGGGGTTAGGTTCGATCTACCCGGCTCTATATCCTTTTTGAATTGTTGGGGTATTTTAACAGCTCTATGTAATTCTGTGTCTTCTTTGCCCGGAGATTTTGGCTGAGCCTCCGCTGCCATTAAGGTTTGAAGTTTGCTGACTTGCGTTTCGACGAAACTTCTGGGTCTTGGTGATAGATTTGGGGTTTCAGGGTTTCTATATATAACTGGGTTTGATGCCGTTTCAATGGGATAATGTGCGGGATTGTGTGTTTGCACGATGCTCTCTGTCTCGAAGCTATCTCGTGTACTGTAGGGCCCGTAGTCCTCGTCTAAGTTCTCTGAGTCATCTACTTCTAGGTCATCGTAATTAATGGGCGTATCCGCACCAGGGAAGAACTCACACAACGCCGACATTATTTCCACTACCTGATAAATTAGAAATATTTTTAAGAATTTTGTTCAAGTACAGTACAGTGTTATCTATAATTTGATAAATGTAAGGTCAATATTGTAAATTAAATATATTTTCGATAATAATCGTATTTCTTTGAAATGTGTGAAATTGGGAGGAAATGGTTGAATTTAGTATACTAACTTAAAGCTTGAATAAAAAAAAACTTAAAGTTTAGTATATCTGGATTAAATAGATTCATATTCGCGGGCGAAGCTACACACAGAAACAAGTGTTGGAAAAACTTGAGATTGAACTCTAAGAAGATCTGTACTATTCTATTTGCCTTTTTAATTTATTTTCGATTTGATTTAACGAAAGGCAAGATGGAAATCATTTAATACCCAAGTTTCTGTTAGCTTTAAACAGTTAATAAGATTAAGCATGGCGTTACTTCATATAAATTACACTACCGGATGTTAGGCATGTTTTTCTAAAAAAAACGTTGTTTTTATTACTGGCAATATAAATTGATTTTTCAATATATTAAAAGATGTATGCATGTTGGACTGTATTAAGGATTGTACAATCCATTCGAAAATACAGTAATATTAAGTAAGCAATTTACTCAGAACCAATCATAGTTGTGCAATTTACATAATATATTTACCTTAGCCATGCTAGGTCTCTCCGCTGGTATTTTATGCCAACATTGTGTCATCAACTGTTCTATAGGCTCTGGACATCCCTCTATTAAATTTGGCCGCTGACCTGAAATTTAATGAGCAGAATATTTATAATAATATATGTAATAATTATATATTAATAGTACATATTGTTACTAATGACGCTATGTTAAAAAGAATGTACGTCGTCGAAACTTCTGTCCACGCCAGACGATTTCAGTTCGATTTTCTCAGGTGAATAAATATTTGTATGTAGGAACATAAACAACAATATGTGAAGTTACACGTCCATATTTTATTTTTGGACAGAACTGCAAAATGAATGAAAAAATATTGCGTTAATAAATATCTATATGTATCAAAATAATTTAGAGATTTTAACCAAATAAATGTGGTCAGTTTTCAATAGAAGAGAATTAAGGCCTTTATATTTAAAAAAAAATCGCTACCAGGAAAAATGCGTTTTGAAAAATTAATTAGATTTAGGGAGTTTATTTAGGAAATTCTTACCAGGTATACGAATTTATTAAATCTGAAGAGTATGTTTTACGTATGTAGAAAAAAGTAAATGACGTTACCACGTCACAAACACTGGACGAATTGTGCCAGGACCTCATGCCGCTGACAATGGGTGCGGATGAAACCGCCCAAATGTCAGCGCAACCAATGGAGGTGACTGCAGGCACCGAAATGGCGATAGGGGCTTCTACAAGCCCTGAATCACCTACTGGTAACCCTGCTGCCACCTCCTCTGATGCTGCCCGACCCAAACGCAAAAGATTGAGTGGGGCAGCCTTAATCCGACTTAAGGCTCTTAGGGGACAGGGAGTGGAGGCTGCAAAAGCCTACGAACTGTCCGCTAAAACCTTTGCGGAACTCAGGGCTATGGGGTATCGTTTCGAGGCTTCGAAACCCGAATCCGAGCGCTCCATCAAAAGGACTCGCTCGGAGGAGGAATCACCACAGGGACAACCAGCGAGGAAGTCCCAAAGGTCGAGCGAAGCACCGTCGGCCCCACCACCTCCAGCTGCCTATAGTGCGGCCTTATCTTCCTCCAAAGTTGGCGTAAGGGACTCCACTCCCATGACTGACGCACAGCTGCAGTCACTCTACAACGCAATTGTGGCCCAAATCACCACTTTGGAGAAGGGTAAGGGACCTGCCTTTGGCGGACTATCATTCAAGCCAGGTTGGCTACTCATCACCTGTGCTAACCAGCATGCCAGGGAATGGCTTGAGAAATGTATACCTTCCTTACAGCCGTGGCCAGGAGCTAAGCTCGCTCTCATTAATGAGAGCGACTTGCCCAAACCAAGGGTTGGGGTGGTATACATTCCCGATCCGGAGGCCAAAGACGTTGATAAGGCGCTCTCCTGTCTCCGGATACGAAATGATGGCCTTAATACGGAGCTGTGGAAGGTTCTCAATAGGAAGGCGGAGAAGGGCGGGATCACACTCACCCTCTCCATCGACGACCAATCTGTTGAGACCCTTCAAAAAACCGGCATGAAGGCCTACTTGGCTTTCAAATCGGTCCAGTTCCGTATTAAGGGCATCAACCAGACGCCAACGAATCCTGGGACACTTCCCTCTGAACCTGTGCCGTCTACCTCTCGTTCTGGGGCCGCGGCTGCTGGAGCAAGCGCCAGCGTTGCTGCGCCTTTACCATCTGCTGCACCTGGCGTGGCTCCTGTGGCCGGGACCAGCGGAGCGACTGGTACTCCGCACAGGTTTCCTCGTACAGGGGGGCACACCAGGGGTGGACAAACCCCCAGAGGCAAGAGCCAGCGCCCCCGCAAACAAAAGGGACCCAGACCCAGCAAGGGCAGTGACAAGCGCAATGGGGCCCGTCCCCAGTAGCGCTTCACACCCAACTGGCGACGCCCCCACTAAAATACTCCAAGCCAATCTACACCACGCTATCGCTGCCACAGCCGTGGCAGAAAACACTTTTAGGGCAAATGGCATGGATATAGCGCTGGTCCAGGAACCATGGCTTAACGCCAAGTCCAAGATTTCGGGCTTAAATGGAGTAGGTAAGATCCTAGCAAACGAAAATGGCACCAAGCCTAGGGCCTGTATCGTTTTTAAGAAAGGTATTAATTTCTTGCCTGTTACAGAACTTTGCAGTGATGACACCGTTGCTGCAATCACCGTTCTCAGAGGGCGTGGTCAAACTAGAGCACTTGTGTGCTCGGCCTACCTGCCCGGAGAGAAAGCCAACCCCACCGAAGAACTGTCTAAAGTCGTCGACTACGCTCGAAAACACAAGACAGAACTAATTGTTGGCTGCGATGCAAACGCCCATCACACAATCTGGGGAAGTACTGATACCAACAAAAGAGGTGAGTTACTTTTAGAATTTCTCCTAGCTAACGACCTTCAAATACTTAATAAAGGCTGTAATCCAACCTTCGCTACTAGAGCTAGGCAGGAAGTTCTGGATATCACTTTTGCTACTGAACAAATCGCTAAACACATAAGTAAATGGCATGTCAGTAATGAAAACTCTTTGTCCGATCACAAACATATTGTCTTTAGCATACAAGGCTCAATAACTACTGAGCCTAAAAGGCTTAGAAATCCCAAAGCCACCTCGTGGGTAGATTTTAAAAACCTGCTCGCTGAGGCAGCTAAGGATTTTCCAAAATCAATCAAGACACCCGACTCCCTTAACATTTTAAACAACTTATTAACGGATGGCATCTTAAATGCCTATGAAAATAGCTGTCCTGTCAGGGAACTTAAGGTTAACAACAATACTCCGTGGTGGAACAAAAAGCTAGAACGACTTAGAGTTTCCACACGTCGCTTATTTAATCAGGCCACTACACCGTATGGGTGGGAACGGTATAAGAAGGCTCTGACTAAATACCACAAAGAGATCAGAAAAGCTAAAAGAGCATCTTGGAAACGATTCTGTGAGAATATCGCCCAAACACATAAAGGAGCGAGAATCCACAAGGTCCTTGCCAAGACACCAAACATCTTTCTCGGCTTTTTAAAAAAGCGAGACAATTCCTTCACGACCACAGAGATGGAGACGCTGGAACTTTTAAGAGCAACCCATTTCCCAGGATCGTACCCTGTCACCGGCAGTGAATCAAACCCAAAGGAAAACTACATCCACAGGGCAAATAGTTGCGACTGGAAGATGGCCAATACCATTTTTAGGCCTAACCAGATTAGATGGGCTTTGAAAAAATTCAAACCATTTAAATCAGCAGGGGAAGACGGAATTTTTCCAGCTCTGCTTCAACAGGGCATGGAACTCCTTATCCCGCATCTGGTAAAATTATTTAGAGCAAGCTTTGCTTTGGGCATTATACCAGAACAATGGACTAAGGTCAAGGTTATCTTTATACCGAAGATCGGTAAAAACGACTACTCTCAGCCCAAATCCTTTAGACCTATTAGTCTTACTTCTTTCCTATTAAAAACAATGGAAAAAGTAATCGATCAGCACATTAGAACAAGGTATCTTGTGGCTAGACCACTTTCCTGCAACCAACATGCTTACCAAAAGGGTAAATCCACAGAATCTGCCTTAGTAGCTCTGGTCGACAAGGCAGAAAGGTCCCTAGAGGATAAGCAGACAGCTCTATGTGCATTTTTGGACTTTTGATAACACACCTACGGCAACCATCCTGAAAGGATTAAATGCAAAAGGTGTTGATATCACAACCACCAGATGGGTGGAATATATGCTCTCCAACCGGTGTGCGAAAGTTACGTTAAACGAACACTCGCACAACTTCCACACTACAAGAGGCTGTCCGCAAGGAGGAGTGCTTTCACCCCTATTATGGACACTAGCTGTAGACCTACTACTTGTAATCATGGCAGATCTCGACTACGATACACAGGGCTATGCAGATGACCTTGTTGTAGTAGTAAGAGGTCCCTGCCTGAACACAATTTCCACCAGGTTACAAGGAGCTCTCAATACCATCACAAGATGGTGCAGAGAAAATGAGTTATCAATAAACGCTGATAAAACAGTTATTGTACCATTTACCAGGAAAAGGAAGCTTGAAAGGCTGACCGAACTCAGACTCAATGGCAAAACCCTTAACCTATCAAATGAGGTAAAGTACCTTGGAGTCACTATTGATCAAAAGTTGACCTGGAACTCTCACCTCAACAACATTATACAAAAAGCCAAAATGGCCCTCTGGATATGTTGTCGAATGGCTGGAGCCAAGTGGGGCCTCAAGCCCAAAATGGCTCTCTGGATGTACACCGCCGTGGTAAGGCCGATCATAACATACGCCTCAGTCGTATGGTGTAACAAAACCAAACAAAAGACAACTATGAGTAAACTAGACAGCATACAACGGATGGCATGTCTAATCATCACGGGAGCCTTCCACTCGGCACCAGGCGACGCTTTAAATGCATTGTTGGACATAGCTCCGCTATATCTCCACGTGCAAAAAGAAGCTAAATCTTGCCTCTACAGGCTCTGTACACAATCGAATGTAAAGTTGCAATCGCAATATATGAACAAACTCAAGGAGTTGACATTCGAACACAAAACTCTGAAAATGCCAGTCGATGGCATGAGTACAGAGTTTAACTTCGCAAAACAGTACCAAATAGATCTTCCCAACCGGGACATGTGGCTAAAAAACCAAGAGTCTCACAAAAAGGGCAGTCATGTTTGGTTTACAGATGGATCCAAGAAAGGATCTGATGTAGGGTGCGGCATCTATGGCCTTAAGCCTAGATTTGACATGAGTGTCAATCTGGGCAAGGAGGCCACCATCTTCCAAGCCGAGGTCTTCGCCATCAACAAATGTGCTGAAGTCATCCTGGAGAGGAAGCTTAGAAACCAAAATATCTACATCAACTCAGATAGCCAAGCAGCACTTCTGGCTATAGATTCTCTTGAGACCAACTCTAAGTTGGTCAAAGACTGTATGGATAATCTGAATGTCCTGGGCACATCCAACAGAGTTACCCTCAGATGGGTCCCGGGTCACTCAGGCATAGATGGGAATGAAAAGGCTGATGCATTGGCAAGAAGGGGCGCTGAAACCCCAGATTGTGGCCCAGAACCATTCTGTGGCATTGCAAAACAACATGCCTATTCAATTCTCAAAATTCACTGCAATCGCCAAGCACTTCAAGAGTGGCAATCCACTTCTGGACAAATACACTCTAAAGCGCTAATTAAGGGATATCGCAAAAAGTTTACAAAAGAGTTGCTTCAACTCAACAAGTATAAAACCAGTGCAGTAACCAGAATACTTACTGGTCACTGCAAACTCAATAAACATATGTTTACCCTCGGCCTCAGTCAGACCGCAATGTGCAGACTATGCCATGAGACAGAGGAAACTGCTATGCATATCCTCTGCTCGTGCGGTCCACTCATGCACCGCAGAAGTATCTATCTAGGGCAGCATATTATGCAACCGGAAGAGATACAGATGCTCCCCGCTCAGAAAATCTGGAAGTTCCTGGAGTCAACAGGACTAAGCGGAGAACTTTGAACTCACTATAAAGGGAGCTACAATGGACCAAAACTGGTCGACGTAGCTAGGGCCGACCTCGGCACCACACCCAACATTAATAATAATAATAATGTTTTACGTAACAGGTATAATTGCTCACTCACGATAACTATTTTTTAAATATTATATATCTACACTGTTCTCATGTGGGTACATGAGAACATCCTAAATATAAGATTAAGCAGACAGTGAAAAACTTAGTGAGGAAGATGTACTAACAAGTTTTAGGAATTCATAAATTTCCTTATGCAGGTAGATAAATGAGTCAAGACAATGAATCAGACTATAACAGATCATTCATCCTTGATTTATAGAACTTAGTTTTATATGGATTAATTATTATTTACGCTGACTCATGTTTATCTTTTTGTTTGTTTCCTATTTCATTTAAACCTTTAATCTGAATTAATTGAAATGTGGTAGACTTATATAAGTGATGACTTTTGTATTATTTGCCGTAGAATCTATTTATGTTATTATTTTTTTAAATTAATCGACATTTTATTAGTTTTTGATCGATTTTGGAGTTAGATTTATAGATTTTTCTGAAAAAGTTAATTTTAAGGTAATTACAGAAAGAAATGAAATTCATTCATAGTCTAATCTTGTTTATTTATTAGTTAAAAATATAATTTAAAAAATTAAGTTGATATTTACAAAAAATTTTTACCCCCATTTCTCGGGGGTAGCTGGGCATCGGGGGCATTTTACGAATTTCTATTCCTTATATACCTGCTAACATTTTAAAATCATAAAACTTCAGGTTTTCAATATATTTTTTTCTCTTAAAAATAAACGGATTCCGATTGGTCTATTACGACTTTGTTACAACTTTTTTCTGGCTTAGCAACAAACGCAAAAGCCTTAGATAATAAGCCTTAGACATGAACAATAATTAATAAAGTCGTGATTTCCTTGCATTATATAAGCTTGTGCGACTGCGGTTTATTATACTTATTATTAATTATATGTGTTATTCTTTTTAATATTTATAATATAACATATATTTTGTTATATTTTTTAATAGTCTCAGTCAGATTGTCCCTTATGCCGAAATTGGCCAAGAGGACATGACGACATGACATTGTTTTCGTAATTCACGTTTAGAAATGAATTATTTCTAGGAAGGAGCCAGGGAATATCAGTGACAGATAACTGACGCTTTCTACAAATATTGAGACATTTTCTGTCAGTACAATTTTGTACTTACCACCAAAAAACAAAAAGTCATTTCGTGTCCGCTACTAAGTTTTGTTAGGCACACATTTTAGTAGACCAGTTTCAAGACACAAGTTTATTTTTGCTGACCAGATAAAAGAAGAAAACGCAATAAAATAGTGAAGAAAAACCAGCACAGAGCTTTGGTTATTAAACCAAATTAATTATAACAAATGCATACCAATATAATAAATATACTAGAAGAACCCGCGGCTTCGCCCGCGTTTAATATACAAAAAAAACACTCTTTGGCTTTATCTTATACAACGATATATACGATTGATCTCTATGTATTTATATTTATGTTATATATATATATATATATATATATATATATATATATATATATATATATATATATATATATATATAGTTACAATAATGTATGGAAGTCTGCCCGATTTGTTGACATTTATGATTACTGCTCCGCTCCCTTGGGTAATAGCTAATGCTATACTATCTAATGCAAAGAGATTTTTTAATCGGATTGTATTTCCTGAGTTCAGTCCAAAGAAACAAACAAACTCTGCCTCTTTATAATATTAAAATAGATAGGCTAAAATCTATGTATAGAATATGGAATTTTGTTATTTTAAAAATACATTTTAAAACTGTGATGATGATGATGTGATGTTCACCTAGCGTTAAAACTATAAATAGTAATATTCAGACAAGTACAATACAAGACATTTACATTAGAAACAACAAAACAATGTGATTACAAAGCGATTTATAAATTGTAAACACAAGGTTTACGATAATTTATGAAACTTAACATATATTGACACTAGCAGAACCCGCGGCTACACTTGCGCGAAAACAACAAAAAAAACTCTAAAAAGGTAATTTCATACCAAATTTCTTCACCTATTTTATGGATTTTATTTGGATGAATTTCGAAAAATGCTAAAACATGTATTTATTTAATTTTATTAAAAAGCATTAATACCAAGTTTCAAGTTATTCTGATAGTAAATATTTATTTGGATTGTATTATAACATGTTTTCCCGTGGGAATTAAATAATCTCCCGCGGTAAAAAATAGCCTATGTCACTCTCCAGCCCTTCAAATATCTTCACACACAAAATCACGCCAATACGTCACTCCATTTCGACGGCGAAAGAAGGACAAACAAACAAACATACATACTTTCATATTTATAGTATCAGTATGGAAATATGGGTTGATGCTTTAAGACTAAACTTCCAGATTTTATTCTCTACCATACATATCGAAGCTAAAACGATTTGGACGGATTTGGATAAAATTAGTACACAGATATCTAGATCTAGATACTTGGAATAGCACATAGACTACTATTTGGCTTATAGGAACGCTCTCGAGCGAAGCGATAATCGTGACTGCCCATAATTATGACAAAGAGAATCTATACTAATATAATATAGCAGATAAAGAGGTAAAGTTTGCGAGTTTGTGAGATTGTTAGTTTGTGATGTTGTAGGGGGTAATCTGTGGATCTATTGAACCGATTTAGATGAAATTTGGTAAGAAGATAGTTTGAGATCCTGGGAAGGACATAGGTACTTTTTATCCCGGAAATCATCCCTTAAGGAGGTGAAAATTTGTGTGGGGAATCAAGCTAGGGACGAACCCGAGGGATTCGCTAGTATATTATATACAGCAGGCATATTGTACAATTCATTATTATACAAACTGCTTGTATGTATGTAAGCTCGTTGCGCTCGTTGGTTTGGAAACTGCTAAAGGCAAATTGATGATTCTGAATTTAATACATTTTTCCGCAATACGTAACCACGAATTAAAAAGTTTTGCAAAATCATTAGCAATTTTACAAAATAGTTCTGTTATGTAAAACACGCGGCGTTACATTATGTCAACGTTGCATTATGTTAATAATAATTATTCAAGTTTGGTGAGAATACTAGACTTCTTCGTCAAGTGTTTTTGTTTTCTATGAACCTTAGAAACCCTTACTGCCAGTGTTGTATTTTACAATTGAAAATTTTACATTTTCCCTCCATCCATATTATATATATCCACAGATTTCTCAGAGATGAGATATTTTCCCGCAGTCAAAAGCAACCTATATGTTCACCCGGATAACCAGCTATAATTATCATACTAAATTTCATAAAAATCTGTCCAGTGGTTTTCTCACGATGCGGTCACAGACAGACAGATAGATGAGAATTCTAAAAACTAGATTCAGCCTATTTCATAAAATGACTATTTCAATAAGATTTGCCAGAAAATATTTAATGTACAGATTGGACTAAGAATTTTATTATATGTATAAAAAATAATGTGTAAAAATGTAATGTTGAAAGTTTTTTTTAATTTTACTACTTTAGACTCTAAGGACTCCATCGGTAGAATTTTTCCACCGACAACGTTAAAATAACGCTTTGTCCGCACTGCGATATTTCACAGCACGTTTTTTTCTCGCAAATCTGTAACACATTGAATCTTATAGGAGTAGCCACACTTGCGGTTAAAAATTCACGCGGAAAAAATCTGTGATTTGATGCAAACCTAAATCGCAAATAAAATTTTAAGCAATCGTAAATGGGTGAATCCAATGTTCATGACATCTTTTGATAGGTCTGTCACACTGCCGCCATAGTATCGGCTAAATTAAAAAAGATCTGTTATTCATAAGACATTCGTCTCAGCCGGGAACTGCACCGAACTGACAAAAATGGTACGAAGTTTTATTCGCAGTGCGTAATAAGTATAATTCCGATCACGGAATATAATACGCGAGAATAAAAATCGCACGGTGAAAAATCGCAGTGCGGACAGGGCCTTAGTGTTATCAATAACTGAGAAACTTTTAAGTATGGATTTTTAACACTCATAAAGTACCTGTATGGACTGCCCACATAATTCTAAATGCAGATCCTCCCTCTTCAAATGGTTTTCTTCTAGAAAGTACTTCCCACAATATAATGCCCCATGAAAATACATCACATTTCTCAGTGTACGAAGATCCTTCAAAAACCTAAAATTAAAAAAAAAAACATATAAAGAATATAAAAACAGTAGATTATTTAAATTTTTGTATAGTTGTAAGTGCAACTTAGATATTTTTGGTCCATAATATAATTATGGATCACCACAAAAGGCATATTTAATTGTGCCAGTTTGGTTGAGTACTGTGAGAGGGAGAAACTGGACATGATCATCGCGGCAGACTCCAACGCACACCACACGCTGTGGGGAAATGCCACTACCAACACCCGAGGTGAGGATACACTCAACTTTATTTTCAGCAATAATCTTATTCTACTGAATAAAGGCTCGGAACCAACATTTATAAACGCACGTTCACAAACCATAATAGACCTGACGATGGCAACGACAGAAATGTCACAATACATCCATAACTGGCATGTGTCCAATGAACTTTCCTGTTCGGACCACAGATGGATTCGTTTCACCATCGACATGAACTTACCTAAACCAACACCGAGAAGAATACCTCAAAGGACAGATCAACCTAAGTTCATTAGGTTGATCAGTTCTGAGATAGGAAAACGGCTCACAACAACAAAAACCCTTAGTGTAACTGACATAGACAAATACGTGGATAGTCTTACGTCACTACTCCTAGAGAGCTACGAGCAGTCCTGTCCTCTCACCATACCACGATGGGGAGGGAAACAACACTGGTGGTGTCCCGAACTGGAAAGACACCGCCGGAAAGTCAGGAAGCTGTTCAACAGGGCGAAGAACAGCCGCACGCAAGTCGACTGGGACGCCTATACAGTAGCCAGGAAACATTATAAGAAACTTATACGCCTTAGGAGGCAAGAATGCTGGAGACTTTTCTGCTCCAGTATAGAAAACAATAACCAGGCAATCAGAGTAAAGGCATGCCTCTCCAAAGAGGCAAACCACTCAATTGGCTGCCTCAAAAAACCAGATAACTCATACACCAAAACCGACGCGGAAACCAGCGAACTGCTCTTAACAACCCACTTTCCTGGCTGCCAAATAGCGAATACGTAATTATGGGAGCCATATGCAGAAAGAGTTACCAGCAGTCTAGACTGGAACGCAGCAAAAAACATTGTTACCAAAGAGAAAATAATATGGGCTATAAACACCTTCCTCCCTTTCAAAGCTGCAGGCCTCGATGGTATCTTCCCAGGGCTGCTAAAATGGGGTTTGAACATCGTAGCAGACTACCTGGTGACGCTGTTCCAAGCCTGTATAGCACACCGCTATATACCGCTGAAATGGAGAGAAGTAAAAATAATTTTCATACCCAAACCGGGCAGGGAGGATTACACCCTGGCTAAATCCTTTAGACCTATTAGTCTCACCTCGTTCTTTCTAAAGACACTGGAGAGACTAGGGGATAGAGAGATTAGAAGTCAGCTATCCACTTCCAACCCACTACATCCTAACCAACATGCATATAGCACAGGAAAATCAACTGAATCAGCACTCCATAGTGTAGTCTCTCGCATAGGTGGCTCGTTGAATCTAAAGCAACCAACCCTAGGTGCCTTTATAGACATAGAGGGAGCTTTCGATAAAACGAACTTCTCTAGCATTAGTAGAGCTCTGCACGCGAATGGGGAGACCCAACACTCATAGAATGGATAAAGAACATGTTAAAACAACGGGCTATACAGTTTACCGTTAACACCACGACGCGTGGCATCGTAAGTAAGGGCTGTCCACAGGGCGGAGTTCTGTCTCCACTGCTGTGGAACCTTGTTGTTAACGAACTCATAACAGAGCTTAACATCAATAGCCTTTACACGGTGGGGTATGCTGACGACATAGCCATTCTAATATCAGGGAATTTTGAAAGCACCTTATGTGATCTAATGAGGAAAGCCTTCAAAATAACAGAGAACTGGTGTCGTAAACACGAACTCTCTGTCAATCCCTTAAAAACCGAATTAATCATGTTTACCAACCGAAGAGTACCCGGACCTCACAGACTCCCGAAACTCTTCAACACAGAACTAAAACTTAAGGATGCAGTCAAATATTTGGGTGTAATTCTAGACAGCAAACTGCTCTGGAATAAGCACCTTGACTACAAACTAAACAAATCCACTATTGCCTTTTATCAATGTAAAAAGATGCTAGGCAACAAATGGGGCCTTTCGCCAAAAATAACGATGTGGTTATACACTGCCGTAATAAGACCAATGCTAACCTATGGGGCTCTGGTTTGGTGGACTAGAACGGAACTCCGGACTACAATCACCAAACTAGCACGCTTTCAAAGGCTGGCACTGTCTGCTACCAGTGGATCCATGAAAACAACCCCCACAGCAGCAATAGAGGTTGCGCTCCAGACAACACCCCTGGACCTATTCATACAGCAAGAAGCGACTATGGCTGCTATAAGACTGATGCATTTAGGTCTATGGGGTAAAAACCACCATAGTGCACACACATCCATACTGGATAGGGCAATAGGACACGAACCACTTATTGCTGCCCCGTGTGACAGAACACACAATAAATATATATTCAACAAAAGATATAAAATAACTATGAGAGAAGAGGAACAAGACCACTCACCTGCCAATGAGCTACGGATTTATACTGATGGCTCAAAGACACGTGAAGGCTCAGGAGCCGGTGTATTTTCCCTTGATCTCAACATCAAAATACAAATACCATTAGGCATACACAGCTCGATTTTCCAATGCGAATGTGTAGCCATAACGGAAGCCGCAAGAACCGTGTATAGTCGTGAAGTAAACAACTACAATATAAAAATACTCTCCGACAGTGCAGCAGTTCTGCAGGCGCTAAATAACAAACAAACCAACAACAAACTAATAAGTGAATGTCACAATGCCCTGGACTTGATATCAACAACAAATCAGGTCACCCTTCAATGGATCAGGGCACACAGTGGTTCACTTGGCAACGATGCAGCTGACGAACTTGCAAAGAGGGGGTCAAAACTAGAAGTGACTGGCCCACTCCCGCTTCTCCCCATACCCTTTGCACAGATTCGCACCTGGATCCGCCAAAGATCCACGACATTACAAAACAACAGATGGTCACAAACTGCAGACTGCAGACAATCAAGATCAGCTCTGCCTGCAGTAAACCCACGACTTACAAAACGCTTAATAAACCTCAATAGAACAAATCTCAAAATAATGATAGGGACGATAACGGGCCACTGTCCCTTGAACAAACACCTATATAACATCGGCGCAACGGACACCCCTCTGTGCAGAGGGTGCCTCGGCGCTGAAGAAACAGCTGCCCACGTAATCCTGGAATGCGTAGCGGTAAGTTCTCAACGTGAAGAAATCCTCGGACCAGTGAGGTCGCTCCGCGAAGCCTGTGAAGTTCCCAGGAAACTTCTGCGCTTCTGGGCGGAGCTAGGCTGGCTAATATAGCCAGGATTCGCACGCACAACGGACCAGAAGAGTGTCTAAGTGCGGAAAACGAGTTCACCTTACATTACATTACATTACATTGTGCCAGTTACACACTATACATAAAGTTTGTAGTTTATCTTTTATTTTAAAACTAGCGGCTCACCCTCGCTTCGATCAGGTTATGAAAAACAAAAATAAATCTATCCCACGGGAACCATAAATTTTCTGGATTAAAAGTAGCCTATGTGCTATTCCAGACTATTAATCTATCTCCGTGCCAAATTTCATCCAGATCTTTCAGCCGTTCTGGCGCAATTGAGTAACAAATATCCAAACATCTAAGCTTTATTTAATTTGTAATATTAGTAAGAAGATAAGACTGTTATTAAAAACAAATAAATATGAAGATTTAAATTTATAAGTTTCCATATATTTAAGTACAGTGAAATACAGTCATCATTAAGTCATCAATATAATACTGTTGTCATGATTTTTTTAAATAATCGGTTTAATTTCATTAAAATCAATATATTTTTTTCATTTCGAAGGCAGTTATTATTAAGTAAAAAGTTCTATTAGTGTGTTTTAATTAATAAATAAATAAAAAGCTAACTAAAAAGATGAAAATAAGTTCACAAAGGAATATAGTATTATGCATTTCGGACACATACATGTTTCATCCTTGTTGCGAGATGTACATACTTGTATGTATGTCTCCGACTGCATAATACTATATTTATAGAGTGATCGTAGGCACAATTTTACTATCGAACATTTGGAACAGTCCCTGATTGTTAACATCTACAAGAATACAAAATGTTATATAATTGTCTCTCTTCTCTTACTAAATCAATCTTAAGAAGATTGAATTAGTAAGCTCTATCTTAATCTTACTAATTGTATTTGATTTTGAAATAAGAAACTTAAGACTACTACATTTTTATTATTTAATGTTGCATAGTTTGACACTTTTCATGCATATTTCATGCTTTTTATGTTGCATATAATCCGGTCTCTAATTATGACAATTGAAGGATTTTAATAATATCAATTGTATTGATCACTATGAATGAAAATAAAAATCATATAAATTTAATATACCTCAACAAATTCTTAAGTAATAGGACTTTAAGAAATATACAAACAAAAACTACTTTTTTAATTGGGTATGAAGTGTAATTCTAATTCACATTGTACTTGTGCCTTTTCCTTAAAACACTAGGGATGTCCCTAGTTTTCTAACAGTGCTACTTCAAGTCATAATCTATGTATTAATTTCATCCAAATTCAACCACCCATTACAGTGTAAAGAAGTAATAAATATAGATATGCACAAACAAACATATGTATACATACAAACAAAATAAATCAGATGCTAGTTTAGCTAGCTAGCCTCTTAGTTTCACCTCATACAAGTTCTTTTTTTTACATAAACCTGTTGAAGCCTCTGACTCCCAAACTAGAATAAGCCTGTATGTCAGGAGTCAGACAGAATTATATCAAATATGAACATAAATTGCAGAAGGCTTATCACTTTTAATTGTTACATCACTGTAACTTAGAAGATAGAATATATTAATAACATTTTTTTTACCTCTGGTGCCATCCATGCTGCACTTCCTTTATTATTAGTCATATATGTTGCTTTATCAGCTGCTGTACCAAAATCACATATTTTTAATTTCTGCCCTCCAGCTACTAATAATAAGTTTGGGGGTTTTAAGTCTCTATGAATAAGTGGCTTTGGTTTCATTGCATGGAGGTATGCTACACCCTGAAAAACAAATAAAATGCATATGTCAGAATATTAATCATTAGAATAAAAAGAATTAGAACACAATAATACCTATTGATACTCCTAGAACCCATTGAACATAGTAATTGAATTGAATACAATAATATTTATAAACAGAAATTTATTGATAATCAACATATTTTACTTTCAGCAAATAAACAGAACATACCATTAGATTTCTACTTTACTAATTTAAGGCTTAGCTTAATGAAGAAAATAATAACACACTTGTGTTCACTTTAGCAAGTAATCTTTTATTTATAAACAAAAAGTTGATTAGTTTTTAATTATCTATACCTCAGCACATTGTCGAGCCCAACTCATAGCATGAGCAGCAGTATATTTGGGCTTTGGACGATTATGAAGTACATTGTATAGTGAGCCTCCTTCAGCATATTCCATAACAAGGCAAACTTGAGTGCCTTGTGTACACGCTCCATACAGTCTCACGATATTAGGATGTGAGACACGCGATAATTGACGAACTTCAATAGCAAATTCACGTCTCTCAGCCTCTGAATTGATATGTTTTATGGCCACAAATTTATTCCGCCATAGACCTTTCCACACCACCCCAAACGCACCTTTCCCTACGACCTAATCATATAATAATGTATAATGAGATCATTATATGACGAATATATAAAATATATATTAAATGATTGTTTTAATACCGATAACTCCTGAATTTCATTATAATCTATCTCCTCAACGAACGGCTGCTGAAATACAGGCGAATCTTGCACATTGGAAGCCATGGGTTTACTTAATATCACATTATCAAAATGATTAACTTAATAAATAACTAATATTAATTATATACTATGCACCAAATTCTACAAAAAGTGTTAAAAATAGTTGATTAAATCAATTTTCTGGTTATTGTTTAGCAAAGAATAGTAACTGCGACAAGGCCGCCATCTTTGAAACTAAAGAATAAATGTCATATGCAGTGTTGCCAGTAAATTTTCTAATTCGGCGAATATGTGCATAAAAATGAAAATAAGTACTATTTCGTATAAATTGGGATATGTAACTGGTGAGAACTGATATGTTACATGCTTGAAAGTATTTAAATAAAATCATTAGAATCCATACTAATATTATAAATGTGAAAGTGTGTTTGTTTGTCTTTCTTGCACGTTGAAACGGAGTGACTAATTGGCGTGATTTTTTGTGTGGAGATAGTTGGGGGGCTGGAGACGGAGAGTGACATAGGCTACCTTTTACCGCGAGAAATTATCTCATTCCCACGGGTAAACACGTTCTAATACAACCCAAAAAAATATTTATGATCAGAATAACTTGAAACTTGGTATTAATGCTCTTCAATACAATTAAATAAATATGGGTTTTAGCACTTTTCGAAATTCATCCCTTATAGGGGTAAAATAGGGGATGAAAGTTTGTATGAAACCTATCTTTTTAAACTTCTTTTGAAGCTTTAACGCGAGCGAAGCCGCGGGTTCTGCTAGTGAAACATAAATTTTGCTTCAGTTGAAATGTCTGTTTCATTTTATTTTATAATTTTTTATAAAATTTTGTTTCTTTTTATCTTTTTTTTTAAATCTTTGTTTCTTTTTAGACTTACCAAAAACTAACAATAAGTATGGAAAGAGAACTGACAACTACTTAATACCTGAATATGTTAACGAACTGCCCAGAGAACTGCAAGAAATGTATAAAAGTACCACGAAAATCAAATCACTTTTTAAAAATATTTTTTACAAAAACAAACCGAATAAACTGAATGACTCTCTGTACCCAGATAAACTCGCGAGGTTTTCGTGGTACTTAAATTGCAAATTATAATGTATTTGTTATGTATTGGCCAATAAATTAAAAAAAAAAGAAAAAGAAACAATTTCTGATACTAGCCCTAATGTAGCACGGCTGAATTTTGTCTTCAATTTTGTTATTAATTTAGTACTCTGTATTTAACATTTCAAATTGATTTTCATAGAAATTTTATTAAACTTGGTTAAAGATCAATCTTCAATCTTTATTCAATTTAATTATCAATCATATTACGTAGGTAATTTGACTTGAGCTTCATCCACAAAAACGCGACAAGTTTAAAACTTAACTTTATTTTGTAACCTCTACATTACAGTAAGCAAACCGCTAGCGCATAAATAATTTCGCATAAAACTAGTCAATAAATTTAGAAACCGTTTTTTTAATACGCTCTAAATGTTAAATGACGTTAGAAGACGATGAAGCTACTTCCTCCATCTCCTCTATTTCGCATAAAATCTTATATGCCTCTTTACATTTAAATGTTTCAGCTGTCTCCTTAGGAGTTTCGTTTCTGTGATTAGTCATGTTTATATCAGCACCTAGACTAACAAGTAGACGAATTAAGGAGGTATTATTACTCATAGCCGCAAAATGCAATGCTTGACGGCCACCGGGAGCTTTAGGATCATTTATGACAGCTCCTTTGATTACTAAGAATCTAAGTATCTTTTCTTCTTCAAGGGTCGGCTTGCACATCATAGCAAATTCTAATAAATTAAAAACATTAAAACATTAATTAGTAGGTATACATATATAAAAAAAACAGAAAACTCATGTTCCGCTCTTGTTGAGTAGATTGAATAAAATATTATATAATATATACTAGCTGTCGGTCATAATATAATACATAATATGTAGGTACTAATATAAAAAGGGCAGAGTTTGTTTGTTTGAACACGCTAATCTTAGGAACTACTTAACTGATTTGAAAAATTATTTTTGCATTAGATAGCCCGTTTATTGAGGAAGGCTGTAGGCTATATATTATATAGTAAGTATATAGTAGGTATATCTATTCAATACTATCTGTTAAACCGTAAAGAGTCGTTAGTAGGTATCTACTTAATAATAGCATGGTCCATTTTGCGCTTACTATTTTAAAATAAAATTATAAAATAGTTGCAATCAGACCGATCTTATATTTTTCTACAACTTTTTTTGCAAGATACAAGACATAATTTTATTAATGGTAACTAACGAATAAATAATCCAGTATCCAAAGGGTCGCTTCGCGGTAAAAGAATTGCGCCGTGGTCAAACAAGAGATTTGCTACTAATAAAGAGGGTCTGTAACAAAATAGGAATAATCTAATTAATAGTAGGTATTGCAAATTACACTTGTGATAATTATTAGTATTTTTATGGTTATTGGGGAAAGAATTTCTCTAGACACTGTTTTTTTACTAACGAAAGGCAATTTACAGTACTATTTTCATTGAAATACTAATTATTTTATCATCTTTGGGTACTTTTAGAAAACCTATATACCTTCTCATTAAAGAAAGTGAGAGAGGTGTCATTCCAACATTGTCTTTGACATTTGGGTTTATTCCAGCATCCAAAAGTAGCTTAATCGCTTTAATATTGCCAGAGTAGACGGCTAAATGGAGTGCATTTCGACCAACGTGATCAACTTGTTGAATATCTGTCCCCCTTCTGAAACATAGATTATTTAATATTTTCAATAATAAAATTTTGGGCTAAATGGCGATCACTGACAATCACTCCGATTTCTGTGGGTTCTATTTTAAAATGAACGCATTATCTTTGTGGGGTGGATATTTTTAATTGACATACCCAAAAACTATTGGGCTCGTATAAGAATAAATAAGAGCAGGCAGCAGCAATGTTAATAAAAATATTGCCATAGCTTTGCATTTTTAAGGACTGAATTTCAAGGGTTTTTTATTACTAGCCACTATAGAAATAAGATAAAATTTCATCTTTTTAGATCCAGCGGTTAAGCCTAGTTCGCATTAAGCTAGTATTTTAGTCGATTAGTTTAGTAAGTAATTTAGTCGAGTCAATCCATTTTATTCTATTTTTTTGGGCGAGTAGCAGCCCCCACCACGCGTCCGAGCTCACTGGTTCACCGGCTAAACAAGTACGAACCTGTCGAATTAGTCGAGTTCATTAGTTGCCGCCATAACATTCATTAACAGAAAATTTACACAACTTTCGGACATTCTCAAACTATCGAAGTATTCTTTGGGATCTTCCAATGCTAATTCCTTCAGAAGACAATTAGTAGCTCCTAGTTTATCTCGTCTTTCAATCCATTTTCGTACCCATAGCTTCTTTTTATTAATCACACAAATTTCCTCATCCACCTCTTCTAAAATAGCCGTTACGATCAGCTTAATCAGTTTATTTACTTTATTGCGTTGTAGGCTGTTCATCTTGCAAAACACCACTCACTTGTAAACTGTACTCGACCAAAGTGCGAACGATTTTTGGTGAGTAGCGAGTAATTTCGCTACTAAATTACTCGCTACTAGACTAAAATACTAGCTTAATGCGAACTAGGCTTTAAGCGGTGTCGAATTAGTAAAAGCAAACTTATTTTTATTTACCTTATATAAATTTCAAGTAATTTATCATTTCCAATTTCGGCTGCTATTAGTAAATCTTTGTCTTCATGAAGAAATTCTATTGCTTCCATTATAACAGGATTTTGAGCCTGATTAGAATCGAGGGACAGGTCAGAACCTATGTGAAGTGAACGAGGGGGATCAGGATAAGATGGAAAGTAGACGTTGAAAGAATTTTCTGATAATTCTATATATGAAACAAATATTACTTAACTAAATGTTTAATCGATAGTTGTGGATATTTTTAATAATATGTAAAATGTAAGTGAATTTATAGTATTAATGTCTTTGAAAATCACTATATATTTATAATTTAAATGAATCCGACAAATCAATAAGCTTATTGATTTCTCTGATTTAGTGATTCAAAATGATAATAAAATTATTCAGTTTTTAATTCCTAATCTTAATTTTAGAAGATCTTAATTTTCAACTTTCGAACTTTCTGCAGATAACGCGAATATTAAACTGGTTAATGAAGGTGTTGGTTTTCCTCAAAATTTTAAATTCTAGTTATATCAATATTTAAAGGTTTTATATGTTATTAAGACAAAATGTTAAAACACAAGTATTTTTATTTTCCAAATGACAGCCACAATTACACTTATATTTTAGATATTAATATGAATAAAGCGCTATTGAATTTATCATTTGTTTTCTTTATTAATAGATTCTTCCATATATAGTGATTGGATTTTTATTTTGCTCAAAAACGAAGAGAAGTGTTCTTCCTCAAGAATAGTCTTCATTACTGGTAAATTATTAAGTATTGACTTTTTTCTTGTTATTGGTAATAATTCTTCTTTATCGAGAAGAATATCTTTATTTTCAAGATAGGATATTACAATAGATTCTTGTCCGCCATCATTGTACTGATCATCTACAGGTCACTTTGCAAATTTATATCAATCACTTGTAATTCTTCTCTTGATTGGTAATTGAAAATTTGAACTGGGGTAAAATTTGTTTGATGTTTGCTCGTGCAAGGTATAACCGTATAACATTATTTTTAAGATTTCGTTTCTGTAAATTATCTTTATTAACGTCTCGTTTGTTTATTAAGATTCATCCAGCATCCGTGTTTCCTGCCACCTATAATTTAAGTATATTCAAGACAAGAGTGAATAGGCATTTTCTAGGCAAGCGCGCTCCAACCTAGACCTCATCAGTGCTTCCCAGCGTTTGTATGATTGTAGTCAAGCGCAAGCCTATCGCACAATAAAAAAAATCTTTGGGGCTTAGATTACTTACGCATCTTGACTCCACAATTACAAACATTGGTTCTCTATCTAGTTTATTTGAATCCGAAAATGTTTTGCCACTTGTGCATTTTAAGTTGAGGTCATCTATTTGCAAGGAATTGAGGACTTAATATCTTGTGCATTATCGCCAGATATGTTTAGATGATATAATCTAAAATTATTAGGATAGTACTTCGTCGTTTCCTATACAAGCATGATTCCCACGTCTGATTAAGTTATACCTGCTGTACGACGCGGAGTGTAACTCACGTTCTATTTGTAATTGTTTGTGAGCGTTTATTAAATTCAAAATATGATCAGGTAATTGATGATCATTATAAAAATAATTTTCGACTGTTTGATATAAGTCCTTAAACAAACGAAGCAAAAACATTTTATAATAGTTAAACAACCAAGAAAATGACTCATACGTTGACCCCGGCGAGGTTTGGCCATCCTCAATGATTTGAGAAACGTTAGCCGCTCTTGTAGATTCTTGCAGGGAGATATTTTCCAATGTTCTACTTATTCTAGAATCGTATTCTTCTTTCATACTATCTTTTATTTATTTAGTTTACCATTACACAATAATTAAAGGAAATACTTCTGTTAAGCCATTACCTATTTAAGAATACTACTTTGAAAGTATTGACGTTGACAAATGTATTTATTTATTGTTACAAAATATTATTATCTAAAAAGTTATCATAGGTTTATAAATTGCATTGATAGAATATGATCATTTATTACTTTACTAGCGACTCACCCTCGCTTCGCTCAGGTTACGTTACGTTTGACGATACGTTTTGACGCTTAGTATAGAATAGTTTATTTAAAAAAAAACGTGGATTTTTCGATGTTTTAATAGTTATTCTGTTATTCGGGGTGAAGAGAAATCCAACAAAACAAAGATCATCAAAATCGGTCCAGTAGTTCTCGAGTTATAAGTGTTGTAACAAACCCGACTTTGTTTTATATAAATATATAGATATAGATTGACTTACCCTCGTGTAGGTCGGGTGCCTTTTATAAATATAAGAATATTTATTTTGAGTGTATCTGCTTACCTTAGGAGAAACACACAATATGCTATCGTAAATATTTCTGTAGACCTCTTTACAACCTACAATTTTCTAAACCATTGTTTTGATATACGTATGTGAACCATGTGAGCTTACGAGAACATTTATTTTACGAAACTCCGCCATAGTTCAGCCATATCAGCCATATCATACTAAATTTCATCAAAATCCTTCCAGTGGTTTTTCTGTGATGCGGTAACAGATCGACAGACAGACACTCAAACAGACAGACAAAAATTCTAAAAACTATAGATTCGGCCTCTGTATCGATAATGATGTTCTCCTGACCGATTCCGGCCACGGCGGCCAATCTCATTGAGACTAGCCAACTGCGCAGGAGATATTATAGTGCACAAGTGTACGCGCAGACACAAGTGTACTCTCTATTCCTGTCACTCATACTCCGGTGGGACGACCACTCGACACGACCAGTGAGAGTTAAGACGCAGGATCGACGGCTTTATGTGCTCTCCGAGGCACGGGGGTATAACACCGCCAACTTCCCAACTCCGGGCTGCTACTGAGGCTTTCTACACACTCAATAACTAAACTTGGCCTGACCCGGGACTCGAACCCAGGACCTCCGGGTGTGCAGCCGTACATGCTAGCCACTACACCACCGAGGCAGTTAGATTCGATAATAATGTTTATTTCAATAAGATTTTCCAAAAAATAGTTGATGTACAGATTCGGCTTAGTTACAATTTTATTATATGTATAGATATAATATTATAATAATACGGATTTATTATTGTTTATACTGTTGTTTGCTATCGATCTTTTTGATAGTTGGAAATTCCATATAAAATATAGATAATACAAAATATTAGTTAAGTACATTGATAAGGATGTTACGAGCTTGTCTCCGACGGAATGCATTATCTTTTTGATAAGATTAAGTGGTTAATAGCAACTCTAAGCTGAATTAGTCGTGTGACCCTATTATTGATGATGTTATTACCTACCTATACAAATGAAAATGTAAAGGTTTGTTTGTGAAAAATTGCAAAACTGCGAAAGATTTTTACCGATTGCTTTGAAAGTTTTCATAATAATGTGTTATAATTAATTACAAGTTAAGTTTTAGTTCTTCTGAATTTTTTGTGGTAATGTTATATGTTCAATATACACTCAATGTAAATAGAGGAAGAGCCCGTGAACGCCAGACCTTCGTCATTTTATAAAGGCTGAAAGTTTGTCAGCGCATGCTCCCAACACAGATAAGAACGATGGACCATTATGAAGTTCAGGCTATGGTGGCTTTGGCAGGTACACGGTACTAAAGGTGTGTAAAATACCGATCTAAATTCGTCAAATAATAAAGTGTGATTTTTTGGTATTACCTTCAGAATATTATTAAAAATCACGTCATTCAATGCCAGACACTTAACATCGTGGCAAACCCTTGCCAGACACCCTTTTCATGAAATCATAATTCTACTTACGTTATAGTATAAAAGCTGATTTTTGTATATAATACTTGGGTAAATAATTAGATGATTTATAAGACTTCTAGCATAGCATTTATTGCACATTAAAAATATTGAAAATGTCAATTGTTCTGTTTCTGTTAAATTATTTGTTTGCGTGCTCTTTTTTTTCATCTACTCATACTCATTACTTTGCAAAGCAAAGAAGGTAAACAGCTACCTACCCTAATATGATTTTATCAGAGGCAGTCATTATGATTTTTTTAATCAAGATAAATATAAATATAATATTTCATGTCATGGACTTTTTACTATGAATGTACCTAGTATATTAACTTCGATGATCGACTACGAACGTAAAAAAATGTTTCTTGTATTTTTTTAATTCATTTTTATTATTTCTTGTTATAGCGGCAATAGAAAGAAATACATACTCTGTGAAAATTTCAACTCTACCTATTACGGTTCATAAGATACAGCCCTCTGACAGATGGAAGGACGGACGGACAGCGGAGGCTTAGTCATAGTGTTCCTTTGGCACCCTTCGGGTACGGAATCCTAATAAGCCAATAATAGCTTTTGTTAACTAAATTTATCTACCTTAGTACCTATATGTACACAATATATTGGGCGTTGCGGCCATTTTTTATTTTTAAATTGTCACACGAGATAAAATAGAGGAGAGGCGAGATGATTTTTTAATATAGGTGTAGGTATATTTATTTTTTAAGATACAAAATAAATGTACCTATACCTATATTAAAAATACGAATAAGGTTTTGTTTAATCGGTATCGGTACCGATTACCTAAAACTTTAATCATCATGACAAGACTGAAAGCAATGGTCATAATATTATGGTCAGTTTAATATAAATTAAATAGAGGTACCTACATATGAAACCGCAAGCATTATCTCGTATTGAGTAAGTACTCGTATACCTACATGATAATTTAGTCGTCGTTAGTTGAATTTTTGCGACAAATTATTTCATGTCATGGAAAATTTCATCTATTTTCTTCGTTTTATAAGTTTTTTATGATTGAGTAATAAACCGTCAAAATATTGTTATTTTCTCCTCGGATTTCGTGGCCTCTAAGAAACCCGGTCCTTTGTAAGGTTTGCGCTTCGAATTGGAAGGTCGGTTTGCGACGCATCAGCCGGGATCTATATCTGAGTAACCCTTACGGAATAACCCAAAGATGGCCTCCGGACAATGCGTGAGGACTATGGAAAATATGAAAAACTGAATATGGTTTTGAAATGGAGCTTGGACGGGCTAAAAACTATTTGATGAGACTACCGGACTCCCGGCTTCTCTAAAGTGTCTCATTTAATATTTGGCGGACGGTGACTCGCGTCCCACTAGGTGGGCCCTCATATAGCGGCATAGTGATTCGAGTGTAACATAAGCATAGTGAGGGTTTTAGTAGTATTGGCTTTTCAGCCAGTTACATATACATATATGCAGGTGGTATGCGTAAATGCATTTCAAAAAATTAATAAAGAAAAAGTCAGTTTACTTATGTCGCTTGACGATATAGAAATATAGGGAGATAAGGTATGATGTAAAAAATAACTTTCGAGGAAAATTCAAACAACATTTATAAGATAATGCTAATTTAATACGTCAAGTTTATACCATTTACACATAAATCTAAGTCTATGCATTTTGCACAATAAAATGTGAAGTTTCACTTCAATATGCAATATGTAGTAATATTTTAAAAATTGTACTTGTAGTAAAAAATAATAAAGTAATAAGAGAGGTTAATAAAATTCATTTACAAATTATTCATAACAGATATGCGGTAAACAGAGGTAGAAGAAATACCTACTACAGATTTGTATGAGGAGGCTCAATATAAATAGAAATGTTAAAGTTACATTTTGAATAAGTATTTGTAATATTAGGCCTTATTTTCCATAATATTTATGCTATATTTACTAAAAACTATTTAGTTTCTATATTCTAAATCGCGAAATAAATGCTATAGGTACAATATCTCGCTCAGAATGACTCCTTCTTCATTATCTTCATTCTTTCAAACAGACAAGGGGTGTGCGTATTCAGCCAAATTAACGCCAAAATTGCTATTTGTTTTAAAAAAAAACATAATTTGTAGTTTCTCATATTGATTAAATGGACAAATAGAGTTTTAAGAATTTTTTTAAAGTATCAGTCGGCGGTATAGGGGAATATCTTGCTCTTGAACGCGTGGCCCAGAGCGTAATAGTTCCGCTAGTGTGTATAGATCATCGCGAGTCCGATAGTTATTCTGGTGACCATCAGATCGCTTCCGAGCTACCATAAATCGCTTCATCTTATTTACATACATTCTCTTGCGGCGTGCTTCTTCATACCGTTGTAATAATTCATTGGGATCAGGGTACATGTCGTTCAAAGGAATACGATTTTGTTCGGAGAAGTACGAATGACGAGGATAGTCCCTCTCGCTCGGGTCTAGGAGCACGGGTTCGTTATACCATACTTCGTTGTCATCTTCAGGTTCTTCATCCAGCGTGTTAACGCGGCCATAGTAATCTGCCCGTTGGTTCGCGTTCCACTCTTGCTTCCTACGCTCCTGTGCTTCCCAAAAATTAAGCAGGGCTCTGACATCGGCGGCGCTTAAGCCGGAGTCCCTCTTGCGACGTTCCGAGATTGGTCTGTTCGTTAAATAAATTTGCATCAGTATTTTATAGTTTATATAATCATTTTTGACTAAAATTAATATATTTTTTTTATCAAGTAAGTAATACAAGTAAAATTTATATGATTTTTTTTACCTAAAGTTCTTTTTATTTCCGCCGGAATTTTTTGAAATTGACTTGGCAGAGGCTGCTGCGCCGTTGACTTTAGTGCCGCTTCCACGTTTCCTGCGATTGTTCTCGTGTTCTTGAATAGCAGAGTCAATAGGCATAGGAGCTTCATTAGGTCTGTGAAAATTCAATAAAAGCAAAAGTATAAACATATTAAAAAATATATTTAATAGAAAATAAATAGGACTATACCTATTTTTTCTATTCGTATAATAAGGACTTACTTTAGATTTTTCTTCCCTGAGCCTGATTTAGTTGCAACTTTTGTAGCAGCACCTGCTCCGACTTTTCCGCTCCCACGCTTACGGCGTCTAGACTCGTATCCAGGAGACAACCCTTCCATTGCTGGGGGCTCACCATATAACTCAGGCCTCATAATAAGGTTATCAAGCTCTCCTGTATGTTCAAATCCTTCTGAATTACCTATAATAAAATAAATCTTATGTTCTTTACGATCGCTTAATATGCATTATTTTTTTGATGATAAAATGTTTTTATATTTAAGTATTTTTTTATTTCCAAAAATAAAGTGTGCAAGGAAAACATAAAAATATTCGAAAAGTGAAAATATTTCTAATACCTTCTTCACTGAGAGCAAGAGGATAAGGTTCTAGATCATTCTTATCGCTTTTGTTCAAAAACAAAGATTGCGTATCGTCTTTTGTTTGGTCCCAATTTTCGGGCAGCTCCGCAATCGGACCACCATCTAAAAGTGTATATTTATAAGATGTTATATCTTAATAAGAAGCTCTTACAAAATAAATTATTATTCATTTTAAAATACTGTAGTAGTCAGGTATTATTGTTGGTCGATATCTTCTCAACCTTTTACAAATCTATACAAAACAAATTTTCAATAATAGCAAAGGTCATAGTTGAGAGATGAAATATCAAACTACGCAAAAAGTCCGGCGCACCGGGCCACCTGTTGCTAAATATAGAACGACCCGACCCTCCCAGATCGATACGGCGCATCAAAACAATATAAACATCACAATCAACCGCAACCCTTAAATAAAATATCGTAACTACATTACCTTTAGTGTTCGGAGTAGGATCCGCGTTGGTCACGATTAGTACCGCGAAGACCGCGGTAAGCGAAGTAAATAACATATTTCCGAAATGCTATTATGTATGGTAGAATTTTTTAACAATTTAATGACAGAGGAAACGACGATGTGAGGACCACTCTCGGAGGACAAGTGCCGTGTACCGGGGCGGACTGGAGAGGAAAGCTAAACTCCTGTCGATACGCTCGCGACATGCGCAGTGGATAGGACAGGGTTGTATTGGCGTTATATAATAAAAATTAACGCTTACGTTGAAATATTATATTCCTTTATACTCTGCTATGCATATTCCTTTAAAGTTATGGATCAATGACAACTATTTAAGAAATAGGAATAAAATTGATCAGTTATAACAACTTATTTAAAAAATATGCGTATCATACTAAGTTGAACGTGGCATAAAATAGTTTAAATTCAAGAGTACAAGTACACCCCTGGTTCAATGACGTCCATATCAACGAAGCTAAACAGGCCCACTGTAAAATACAGATACATCTTATTGCTTGGAAGATGAGTGAGGCGGCACTTGGCGTCGACACTTATAAATTACGTTACATTAAGCACAGTAGCAAACCTACGCTAATGTTTTACATCATTATAAATACAGTTTTCACATAAATTTCAGGATTCTTATAAAAAATCAAGATCAAGATTTCCTGATCATTTATGTCAGCATAGGCTAAGATATGACTGTAACAGTATCATAAATTTTACAAATATCTTTCTACTAAATAATTCATTACATATTCTTATTAATAAATAATTCATCTAGGTGAATAATAATATTTTCTTTTGGTACCTATATCGTAAATATTTTGTCTACCATAGCAAAATTCTTATATAACGTATTTGTTGAAATGTTCCATATAGCTGTTATACATCTAAAGGTATACAATTAGTTAACAAGACTCATCTTCTCGTCACTTCAATTCACACACAAAAGCTAACTGGTCCAATAGAATGTTCCCGCCAGCGACATCCTGTTATCAGGTGATACCGATTCGAACTTTGACATGTTTTATGATTTCCTTTAAATAAATATAGCATCCTTAATAACTAACCCTTTTTAACAATAAAAATTACTGCACTAAGTATTTCAAGTTATAATTAACTTAAATACTACCTACTATGCCTCCAACCATATATTTAGGCATAAATGTAATTATGATGACCTATTGGCTGAATTTTGGTTATTGTTTTTGTGGTCTCCACATGGGAGATATAGTATTATTATGTATTTAAATAATAATCCATTGCAATATGTATGTTTTTATTTGACATCCTTGTTGCTTAGTAACCCTACTACAGGAGACAGGTGCTCTCTCCTAGATCGAAGGGGAATCAAGACGCAGGAGGGATACTAGTTTACGTGATTTTCGAGATGCGATGGTGTACCACCATGAATTTTGGCCCAACTCGACACGTAAGATATGAGTAAATAAGCGTAGGTATTAAATATTATATTTTTTAAAGTTATTTTTACATGAAGTTATGTGAACGTTACGAATTAAGAATATTTTATAACAAAAGGTAGTTTGAAATACCGTGGACTTTGATATAGGTAGGTACTATGTTAAATTCAAAACTTTCATTGTTTTAATTTTAACCCAAATAAAAAAAAATGGAAATGATAAAAATTTTAATAATCCTTTTTGGCCTTCACCTCCCCTATTTAAAAACTCCAAAAGGATCCCATCAAAAGCGATAAAAGCAACAAAGAAACCAATAAATATTTATTGCTTTCTATGTGGCTTTTGTCGCTTTTGATGGGATTTTATTGGTGTTTTTCGACAGATCTGTGGGGTAAAAATAAACCCACTTTATGACCGGCAATATTTTACTGAACAAGACTTACCTACTTGTAACTTGTAAGGTATAGGTAATTAGATATTTTGGAGCTGGTGCCAGCTTAATATAAATTTATTTGGAAATGTATGAATGTATAATATTTTAAATAAAATATTTTTTTTTATTTATTAATTTTTAAATCGATTTTACATTTTTCTTTGCGTTGACTGTCTTTAATGAAATGTTTATTAGTCTTAACTTTCATATGAAAATTTATATAAATATTTTAATCTATACCAGCAACTCAACCTCCCTTAGCTCGATTTTGCTTTCAGATTGCTTCCCCATACAAACTTTTATCCCCATTTTTATCCCCTTAAGGGATTAAGTATTTCCGGCATAAAACTATCCTCTGTCCTTCCCAGGGTCTCAAACTATCCTCTTACCAAGTTTCACCTAAATCGGCTCAGTAGATCCAGAGATTACCCCCTTCAACGTCACGAACTCACAAACTTTACCTCTTTATAATATTATTAAGTAGGTATAGATATAAAAAAACTGATGTGTATTGTGTATGTATGTTCCCTATGGACACCAAAACGGCTGGAGCGATTTTGATGAAATGTCTCAGGCAAATTTCAGATTATAATAGCCTTGCGGGTGATCCTGTGATGTTTGGTAGCGATCGGAAGTTTGAACGCGGCCGCGAGTAATACTAGTAGGTACCTAATAAACAATAAACGCACTTTTATCTAATCTAGATAATATTGATTGACTGCTTTACGATTTTATTAAAAATATATATGCGAGTTCGAAAAACTAATATTATAATTTCAAGTTGTTATATAGAACTAACTAAAAAGAAGGAGACAAAGCATTATGCATTTGGAGACATACCTACTTTATCTTTGCTGCCAGTCTTGGTACGTGTACGTCTACGTCTCGCTGTATATCTCCGACTGCATATACAATTTTCCGTTGTTAACTTATTTCACTATATATATTTATACAGGCGGGTTTTTTATTATTACAATATGTTTTTACAATAAAAAGAGCAAATAATTCATCTATGATAGTAGGTAAGTGCATATCGTCTCTCATAGATATCTGCAACATAAAAGGAGTTGCGAATGCGTTGGCCTTTATAGGGACCTAAAGCCATGACTTTTGAAGAGTCCCATTACCCATATTATACCGAGTGGGGCAAAAAGGAAAGGTTTTAAATGGTGATAACAAAAATATATGTTGCAATTTACATGTTAATAATAGTTGTTTAACATAATACTTTCTTAGATTTACGCGAATATTTGACATTTTAAATAAAACTATCTTTTCGGATTTTGTCGCGGATTTCTTTGCATTTTTGTTTCCCGACGTTTCGAATGCTTTACAGCATCCATGGTCACAGGAGAGACTGAGGTGTTACATGTCTTGAATGTATAGTTGTTACAGACAGCCTACCCACAATTAACAAAATGAAAATTGCACCAATTACATTACAATTTTTTTTTTATTTATTTTTTTTTTAACTTTAAACATTTTTATAATTTTAATTTTGATAAAAATTTTATAATTTTAATTTTAATAAAAAAAAAATGTTTAAAGTTAAAAAAAAATATTGTAATGTAATTGGTGCAATTTTCATTTTGTTAATTGTGGGTAGGCTGTCTGTAACAACTATACCTTCAAGACATGTAACACCTCAGTCTCTCCCGTGACCATGGATGCTGTAAAGCATTCGAAACGCCGGGAAACAAAGATGCAAATAAATCCGCGACAAAATCCGAAAAGATAGTTTTATTTAAAATTAATAATAGTTGTTGTTAATAATCATTTAGAATAGCAAATTGTTAATAAATGACTCCAAATGTGTAACTGACTAGAAGTAAAAAACTGTAAATAATAAATCTATTCATATACTTAATAAAATTGTAACTAAGCCGAATCTGTACATTCAATAATTTTTGGAAAATCTTATTGAAATAAATATTATTATCGATACAGAGGCCGAATCTATAGTTTTTAGAATTTTTGTCTGTCTGTTACCGCATCACGGAAAAAGCACTGGAGAGATTTTGATTAAATTTGGTATGGTGATAGCTGGTTATCCGGGTCAACATATAGAATACTTTTTACCACGGGAAAATATCTCATTTCCGAGAAAAAATAGTAGTGTAAGAGTACCTATAATACTATGTAAAACTTAATAATTTGGTTTTTGGTCATCTGAATGCGGGCGGAGCCGCGGGCAATGCTAGTTTACTATAAAAACAATATTATATAAGTTTTAAATATTATATAATTAGTATTATATAAACTCATCCATATTTCCATAATAATATTAAAATTGTGAAAGTTTGTGAGGATGGATGTTTCATCATCATGAAATTTCATCCAGATCCGTTCAGACTTCAGCCGTTCTGGCGTGAAAGAGTAACAAACATCCATACATACTCAAACTTTCACATTTATAATATTAAATTAATAATAATACGGATAGTGTCGGATGTTTATTACCTATTGCCTTCAGTTTAGTAGTCTTAATGATATTCATACTAATTTTTATTATAATTTTTAAGATCGATTATTTATTATAACTAGCAGAACCCGCGGTTTCTCTCGCGCTAAAACTACAAAGAAAATCTAAAAAAGTAAGTTCCATACATACTTTCATCCCCTATTTATTTATTTGTATTGAAGAGAATTTATACCAAGTTTCAAGTAATTCAGATCATAAACATTTTTTTGAGTAGTATTACAACTTGTTTTCCCGTGGGAATAAGATAATCTACCGCGGTAAAAAGTAGCCTATGTCATTCTCCAGCCCTCCAACTATCTTTACACAAAAAATCATGCCAATCCGTCACTCAGTTTCGACGTGAAAGAAGGACAAACAAACACATTATCACATTTATAATATTATTATGGATTGCGAGGATACTTGAGAAAAAATATTTTATAGATGTGTCATCGTTATTATTATAAATATTATAATTTATACATGCCTAATAAGTGGCACATCACATTGTCACTGGACAGTTAGGCTCAAGGCTGTCGGATAGATTTACTAGCTATCTTTTAACTTTGTAAATTTGTTGAATTGGTTTAAAATTTCATTTAAATCTAATTTGTTACTTTAATTCACATTTAACTTCTGGTTCCTAAAATAATGATATGTAAGATATTGATTAGGTAATGATAAGATAATAGAAATCAATTCTAATTAAAAAATGACAAATCATTTATATAAGTAACAGCTGTGAATTGCATATTATGACTTAAATTTAAGTTTTACATATTTAAGAAACATTGTTTTTATTTCATTAACAATTTAATTTATAGAAATAAGCTTTATAATAATTAATTTATAATTGAGAAAAAAGTGTAGGATATTTATAATTCACATCATATTTTTCTATTTTAAGTATTTACTGTTGTCTGTTACTATTTTAAGATAAAATTCTTTTATTAATTAAAAATAATATGATTAATAAAGAATACAAATGCACATTTTAAAGCAATTTTATTGTACTGGAGTATACAAAATTTAAATATCATGTTTGTCAATTGTTTCTATAACCGCTTTTTAATTTTTTTATCTTTCTTCTTTCTATTTTTTTGTTTTTTTTTGTCATGCTCACTATCAGAACTGGACGAAGAGCTACTGGTTTCTGAGCTACTTGAGCTTGTACTACTGTCACTGCTAGAACTTGATGTTGAATATTTTCTCTTTTTCCTTCTAGATTTTTTCTTTTTTCTGTCACTATCACTAGATGAACTAGAATCAGTGCTTGAACTACTATCGGAAGAACTATCAGATGATGATGTAGATGGTCTTGGTTTTTTCTTCTTATTGCTATGTTTAGTAGACTTTTTATTTTCTTTTACCTTTCTTTCCTTATCTTTACTTTTCTTTTTCACATCATTATCTATTTTTCTTTTAAGGTTAGGTGATGGCGTTTTTGGCTCTTCAATATTTTTGTCTTCTTTACTTTGATTTCTTGTTTCACTATTCTTTTGTTGATCTTTTCTTGAGCGACTTTTTGTATTTTCTAGTTTTTGCATTTTGTAACTAGTATTATTATATTTGTTATGTTCTCTGTTATCAGGTTTTTCTTTGTGCTCTGAATACTTATGATTTCTTATAGGTGATTTAGCTGAGTCTCTTTTATTACTTCTGTTTGGAGAATTTTTGGATCTATGATATTTAGAGTGATTATTTTTGTAGTCTAGTCTTTCCGAATTACCATTTTCATTATATTTTTGATTATCCCTTGAATAGGTTTTCCTATCTCTCTCTCTTTCTTTTTGCCTATCTCGAGAATCTTGTATTCTAGATCTACTTCTCTCCCTACGCTCTCTTATATTTCTTCTATCTCTTTCGTGTCTTTGCTCCCTATCTCTGTCATTTCTGTAATTATCATGTTTGCTTCTATCTCGGTTCTCATTTTTGTGCCTATCATCTCGGTACCTCTTCGTTCCTTTGTCATCTTCTTTAACTTGTGAATTTTTAGAATCATCATCAAAATATTGTACACCTCTCCCTTTTCCCAGCCATCTCATTTTAGATACAGACTGTGAGAAGTCTACATGAATGCGTCGATCATCAATTAAAACATTATCCATTTTAAAATAAGCATCTTCACAAGATTTTTTGTTCTCAAATTCTATGAATGCATACTGTAAGGAGTTGCCAGTCTTTTTGTCTCTTATCACTTCACAACTTACAATTTTTCCAAAACGGCTAAATATAATTTCTAGATCTTCGTCAGTAGTAACAGGGTTCAGTTTACAAACAAATAATACATTTTCTGGAGGAGCTATCTCTGCATCAGGCAAGTCACCAACAATTTCCAAAATTGTAGCACGAGCTTTTGCCTCCTTATCTTCTATCATTTCTTGAATTTCTTCTGCAGATTTTCCTTGAGTTTCATCAATTTCTTCATCTGGTGCAATTCTTCCACCTTTTAATCGCTCTGGATTTGGAGAAGGTGACCTAGATGGAGCTCTAAGACCTGGTGGGTCACTAAAAGGGTCTTCTAATACAACAGTATGGGTAATCCTCACATCTCTATATGGACGATGATTTTCATCACATATTACTTCATTTAGCTTAGTTAAAATTTCCTGGCCTTCTGTAACCTCTCCAATAACACAATGTGTTCCATCTAATGAATCTAAATCAGGGGCTAGGGTAATAAAGAACTGGGAACCTACCATCATATCATCTGTACATACCATTGATATCAAACCAGCACCAGTATGACGGATTTTTGGCATTTTTTCTCCAGAGAAAAATCTTTTTTCTGGTCCTTCCAAGATACCCCATATTGACTGTCCACCTGAACCTTCACCTGTAGGGTCTCCTGTTTGTGCAATAAATTCACTGCGTATAGAGTGAAAAAGATTGAAATTGTAGTATTTCATTTTGCAAAGCTTCAAAAAGTTCAAACATGTTATAGGCCGTTGTTCTAAGTACAAATCGACAGTTATATCTCCAAGGGTCGTTTCAATTACGACCGACATTGTGCTTTTATAACTACTTTTTAATAAATGTAAGGTATATCACCGCATTTTAAATGTTTTCGTCTTATTTACTTGTTTTATTTGTTGGCTTGTAAAATTGACACATCATTTCTAACCTATATAGTTTTGACATAAAATTCACAGATTATAAATGAATACCTTCCATTTTTTTTATGACACAGATGAGAAAACTATTGTCTGAACTACTAAAATTCAATCTATTTTCTGATATATATTTCTGATAAAATTTTCCTTAATTTTAAATAAGTAACATTATGAATTTAATGAATGCCGCAGAAAAGTATATCAAAATATTAAATTAAATGTGTGATGCTAGAGCCATCTATGTTATTTTCTATCAAATAAATAAGTATGCTTAGAAATTAGTTACTTAACAACTTCTGAATATATCGCATAGATGACGCTTTTTATGAATGTAAAATGTTTTCAACAAACTCATTTTGTTATCTATAGGCACAGATTACAATATAATACCACGGTAATATATGCATTACATTATCGTGATAATACTATACTACATAAAGGTAAAGGAGTCTGCCCACTACACCGCCTCACGGCCATGGTGGCCATGCTAGGACCGTGTCAGGCAAAAATAATATCTTTGTATTTAAAAGTATGAGACTCTGCCGGCTGCCCACTAGACCGTTCCATCGCGTAGGCGAGAATATTTTGTCGGTGGTGGTGCGCTCCGTGCATGGCACGCGAGTTGCGACACACGTGAACATACGTAGCACTAAAATCGTTATGTACGGGTATGATACGCTGTTAATACGTTCTAGTGGGCATAGTAGTCCTTGCCATGCTCGTTTCCGTGCCTGATTCATTGATAGCACGGTCATGGTATGAAACGGTGTAGTGGGCAGACACCTTAATGTTCAGTCTTATGTTAGACTTGGTAGACTAAAGAATGCATACTTAATACATTCAATCTGGAAGTATAACTCAGATGTATGTAAAAATTATTTAATTGTATCTATAGTACACAATTTTATAACGAGACTAGCATTGCCCGCGGCTCCGCTCGGGTTCAGATGACTAAAAACCGAATTCTTAGGTTTCACATATTAGTATACTCTTACAATGCAGTTTTTGTATTTTTTCTCAGAAATGAGATATTTTCGCGCGGTAAAAAGTATCCTATATGTTGACCCGGATAACCAGCTATCATCATACTAAATTTCATCAAAATCCAAAAGACAAAAATTCTAAAAACTATAGTTTCCGACTCTGTATCGATAATGTCTATTTCAATTAGATTTTCCAATAAATATTTAATGTACAGATTCGACTTAGTTACAAATTTATTATATGTATAGATATTGCTATTTTCAACCGACTTCACAAAGGAGGAGGTTCTCCATTCGGTTGTATTTTCAACCGACTTCAAAAAGGAGGAGGTTCTCAATTCGACTGTATTTTTTTTAGTTTTTTTTTATGTTTGTTACCTCAGAACTCCGTCATTTATTAACCGATTTGGACAATTTTTGTGTTGTTTGAAAGTGTATACTTCCAGATTGGTCCCATTTAAATTTCAAAAAAAAAAATACCACCCCCCTAAGAGTGGAAAAATAGCTAATGATGAATTTTCTAATTGTCATATTGACTTGAAACTTTGCAAGTGTTTCTATTTCCGTTGATAGTACAGTGGTTTGATATGGTTGACCTGATCTGATGGTAAGGCCAGAAGGTGGATAGGTGGAACTCTTCAACGGCTAATAGTAGATACTTGAGTTTGGGCTTGTTTTGTTTGATTTGACAAGCCTAATACGTTAGAATTCTTACTTTGCTACTACTGTCTACACTAAAAAGGGAAAAATAAAAACTTTTTAACAAAAAATAAAAACCAACTTCAAACAAAAGCATTAAAAAGTAAAAAATAACTGATTGGTAGTTTTCATTTACTATACATACCTAATCAAATATTTTCGAAGTCGGTGTGCTTTGGCTAAGTAATTAAAGCCTTCCTATTAAATACATACCTAATCAAATATTTTCGAAATCGGTGCCAGCCCATACGACTTCGAAAATATTTGATTAGGTATGTATAGTAAATGAAAACTACCAATCAGATATTTTTTACTTTTTAGTGCTTTTGTTTGAAGTCGGTTTTTATTTTTTGTTAAAAAGTTTTTATTTCATATTATAAAAACAAATGAAAAATCTTCACAATATGGGTAAGTAGGTATTTCACGTAAAATTACAAGTTATTTATTTCATTATACATAGTTTTTATTGGAAGGTAGCAGACTATTTACAAGTAAATTAAAAACGTAAAAACCCAGTAAGAACGTCGGTCGTTTAAGCACAGACGATTGATAATGTTTGATTAAGTAAGTAGGTACTAATTATCTGTTTTTATAGAAAATTATTCAACTTTTAAATAAACCAGATATATCAGATTGTGTACCAATTTATAAATTAAACATTATTATTTTTATTTTTGACTATATGATGATAAGTTTATAACTTAACAAAAACTTACAGCTTGTATCTGTATTTTTACTTTATTTTGAAGTACACATAGATAATGTAAGTAAATCCAAAAGATAGTAAAATATGTATTTATTGTGAGCTCGAGCTCATAAATTGAACTGTTGGAAATTTTCAATATCAAGGTGTCGGTCGCAGCCTATGCAATTGGCTGTATACTCACGTTTCTAGAAAATCTAATAAAGGCCGTTTCGTTCACCCTCCTTCCGCTCTCACCCCTAATAAAGTGAGTATTGAAAATTTACCAACCATTCTTCGAGGGATATAAGGTTAGCCTTGCATAAATGGCGATCGCACCTAAAAATCAACGTGCTACATCGAAACGTGTACCTTTTCCCTTTATTTTAAGGTTAACATTTTGTTCAATTTCTTCTGTGGCGGTTTAAATTTTTCTCATTGCCTACAAAAAGGTTACGTTTCGAAATAATAAAATATGTTTTGCCGGATGGAAAATATGGTATAAACATGGCACTATTATAAGTTTTTTTTTGTTAGTGATTTTTAAAAAGTAGTAGTAGTACCTACATTATAAACTTAGGGTTGTACAGATCTCGTTAGTGGGTTGTTCGATCTCGTCGTCGAAGCGTTAAGACGTCTAGTTTTTAAAACTCTATCTTCTTCTTCTTCTCCCTGCCCATTTCAATCACTTGGGGTCGGTTGCGGTCTCCCTCCTTGGGAATGCTATTGTCTCTCTTTGTCTTAATGGTATCGCGGAAAACTTGTAATATGCACTTTCGATTTTTTTGCCTTTTAAAACATTTTTTATACTACTATTACTGAAAATTTTAATGATATATTATAAAATAAATTTTGATTACATAATAAATTTTGTTTTGACGTTGTCAAATATTTCTTTTAAAACTCTATCTATACCTACCAATGATAAAATTCTAACTGAGTCGAATCTGTAGTTTGTACATTAAATATTTTTTGGAAAATCTTAATGAAACAGTCATATTATCGATACAGAGGCTGAATCTATAGATTTTTAAATTTTTGTCTGTTTGTCTATCTGGGAAAGCATCACGAGAAAACAACTAGGCAGATTTTAATGAAATTTGGTACGATAATACCTGGTTATTCGGGTCAACATATACGATTTTTACCGAAGGAAAATATTTAATTTCTGAGAAATGTACTTATACTAATCGTTAAAACGTACCTAGGGACGAACCTGAGCGGGCAGTGACAGGTGTCTAATAAAACATCTTAAAATTAGTGTTGCGAAAAGATTCTCATTTTGCGTTAAGTATAACAATTTTTCCAAACTATCCATTTTTACTGTGTTATTTAGGATGGTAAATAAACTACTTATTACCTAGGTAATTTCCATATCCCCCCCAACGTGCGTTCACCTTGTCGTGGTGGGGGGGCTCAGTAGTAGTAGCGAAGCTAAGAAACGCACAGGGAGGTTGCCCACTTCGGTGGGAGGTGGGAGGTGGCCCTCTTCGGGGGGCGGTGTACCTTGCGGGTTGCTCCTGGTACTTCTCTGATAGCAGAGTGGACCTTGGAGCAACCCCATGGTTGTGGTGGTCTGCTTTGGCAGACCTGCCGTCGGGGCGTCGTAGTTGAATGCGTAAGCGATCCTGCGACGCCCCATTATGACGGGGGAAGGTTTTGTTGGGTTTTAGTGGGTAGTACTGGCTGTATTACGCCGGTGAATTTCCCAACGTTAAAAAAAAAGGTAATTTCCATATACTAAATATTTTCGTTTATTTCACACGAATTTGTGTGTATCCTAACCCTTAAAAGTCTTGCCAATTCATAAATAATATAAGGAAAAAGCAATAGTAGTGTAGCATGTATATAGGTAACCACTAACTCAGTTCGCTAGTGACGAGGCGTTCACGCAACGCCGTGACAATGTAAACATCGCAGCAATCACCAGAGTAAACATTTGCCAGAGTGCTCCACCGCTACCTTTTACACGCTACTATAACACACTTTTACTTTGCAATTCAGTAGTTGTACTTTTATCCACTATATTTTGGTGAAAAAAATTGTTAAATGTCTAATTAAATAATTTATTACTAGCAACTTTTAAAGAGATTAGAAATTTTTATATGAAGGATAACTATTATAGGCCGACCAGTTATTGTGTTTTCCCGTGGGAATAAGAGATTTACCTGTTCTACAAGATATCCTAAATGTTTACGCGAATAATAAATTATCACCACAAAATTTAGTTAAAAAAAGATACGCAAATAGGTATACAGACAAACAGACAAAAATTCAATAACTATCCTTTTGGGGTCTATATTCTGTAAACAATATGTACCTATTGTGTAATGTTTTTTATCACGTAATATTAGAAACAGATTATATCTAATAAGTTTTAATTAAAATTAGTTTTATTTTAGCTAGCAAAATAATTTGCAAATTCGCCTTTATTCCTTTTTATATTTTCTATTAGAATTTCTTTCGGAATCTGTTGTTAGCTAAATTAAAATACTTAGGTATATACGTTGGCAAAGACGTTGGTAGATACA